GGGGGGGGGGGGCGGGGGGGGCTGGGGGGGGGGGGGGGGGGGGGGGGGAGGGGGAGGGGGGCGCGGGGGGGGGGGGGGGGGAGGCCGAGGGAGGGGGGGGGGGAGGTGGCCGAGGTGCGGGGGGGGTGGGGGTGACGGGAGGCGCGGGGGGGGGGGGGGCGGGGGGGGGAAGGAGGGGGGGGTGGCACTGGGGAACACTTGGGGGCGCGCACGGGGGGGACTGGGGGGGGGGGTGGGGGGGACCGGGGGGGGGGCAAAGGGGGCTGGGGAGGGTGGGGGGAGGGGAGTGGGTGGTAGCACTGGGTAGAGCGGGGGGGGGGGCGGGGGGAGGGGGGGGGGCCTGCACACTGGGGGGGCGGCACTGGGCGGGAGGGGGGGCACTGGGGCGGGGGGGGGGGGCGGGGGGCGGGGGGGGGGGGGAGGCTGGGTACAAGTGGGCGGGCGGGGGGGGGTGAGGCACTGCACTGGGCTCTGGCACTGGGATGGGGCGGTCCGGCTAGGGACGAGGGGGGGGGGGCGGCTGGAGGCCTGGGGCGAGGCCTGGGGGGGGGGGGGCGGGGGTGGGGGGGGGGGCCGTGGGGGACTGGGCTAACCTGGGGAACACGGGGCGGGAGGGGGGGGGGGGGGCGGGGGGGCCCGGGGTGAGGGGGGGCGCCGGAGGGTCGGGGGGCTGCGAGGGGCTGGGTGTGGGGGGGGGCGCTGGGGGGGGGGGGGCGGGGGGGGGGGGGGCTGGGGGGGGGGGGGGCTGGGAGCGGGACAACTCGGGGGGGGCGGGGAGGGGTGGCGGTGGGAGGGTCGGGGGCATGGGGAGGGGGCTCGGGGAGGCGCGGTGGTGACTGGGGGGGAGGGGGGTGGGCGGGGGGGGGGGCCGGGGGGGGGGGGGAATACGAGGGGGGGGGCGACGGGCCTGGGGGGGCTCGGGGGCGCTGCTACGAGTGGAGGGGACGGGGGGGTGGGGGGGGGGAGGGGGGGGGGGGGGGTAGCCCCCCCCCAGCCGCCTCCCGCCCCAAAGACACCCGGCCCAGCCCCCGGCCAACCTGGGGGCGGGGCTACGGGGGCGGGGAGGGTGGGGGCCTGGGGGGGGGGGGGCTGGGGGCCATGGGGGGGGGGTGGGGGGGTGGGCGGGGAACCGGTGCTGCACCCGGGCTGGAAACGGGGGGGTGGGGGGCGCAAGGGGGGGGCGGGGGGGGGGGCGGGCCCTGGAAGGGGGGGTGTGGGCGTGGCGGGGGGGGCGACTGGCTGGGGGTCTGGGGGGGACTGGGGCGTTGGGTGGCGTGGGGGGCGGGGGGGGGGGGGGGGGGGGGGCGGGCAGGGGGGTGGGGGGTGGAGGGGGGGAGGGGGGGGAGGTGGGGGGGATGAGAGGGGGGTGGGCACTGGGGGGTGCGTCTGGGGGGGGGCTGGTGGGGGCTGGGGGGCGGGGGGGGGGGGGCTGGACAGGGGGGGGCGTGGGCTGGGCAGTCTGGGGGGCTGGGGACTGGGCTGGGGGCACTGGGGGGGGTATGGAAGCACTGTCTGGGGGGGGTGTCCGTGGGGGGTGCACTGGGCTCGGTGCGCCCGCACTGGGGAGCACGGGGGGGGCTGGACTTTGGGGGGTGAGCGGGGGGGGGGCTGGGCGGGAGGGGCGTGGCGGGGGGGGGGGCGGGACGGGGGAGCTGGGTGCAACTGGGGGGCGGGAAGGCGGGAGGGGGGGGCGACTGGGTGGGGTGTGGGGGCACGGGCTTGGGGAGGCGATGGGAGAGGGGGGGGGAGGGGGGGGGGGGGGGGGGGGGGGGGGGGGGGGGGATGCACTGGGAGTGTGGGGGGGGGACTGGGGGGGCGGGCGGGGGGGGGGGCACTTGGGGGCAGGGCGACTGGGGGGACGGGGGGTGGTGCGCGGTATGGGGGGGGAAGGGGGGTACTGGGATAGGGGGGGCGAGGGATGGGGGAGGGGGTGGCAGGGATGGGGGGGGCGGGGTGACTGGCACTGGGGGGGGGGGGGGGGGGGGGGGGACAGGGGGGCCGGGGGGGGGGGGGCTGGGCACTCCCCTGGGGGGGGGGGGGGGGGGGGGAGAATGGGGCCCCGCACCTGGGGGGGAGGCGGGGTGCGGCACTGGGGGGGGGGCAGGGGCGGAGTGGGGGGGGGCTGGGGGGACTGGGAGAGGGGGAGGGGCAAGGGGGGGGGGGGGGGGAGGGGGGGGAGGGGAAGGCGGGGGGGGGCCAGGGCAAGGAGGGAGGAGAGGAGGGCGGCTGGGGGTGGGCACTGGGAGGGAGGGAGGGGCGGCTGGGGGGGGGGCGGGGGGATGGCGGGGGGAGGGGGTGGACTGGGGGGGGCACGATGAGGGTGGGGGGGGTGGGGGAGGCTGGCGGACGGGGGGGGGGGCGGGGGGGGGGGGGGGGGGAGCTCTGGGGGCGGGGGGGGAGGACGGGGGGGGTGGGGCCGTGGGCGGGGGCGGGGGAGGGGGAATGGGGGGGGGGGCGGGGGCGGGGGGGCGGGGCTGGGGGGAGGTTCGGAGGGACGGGGGGGAAACCGGGAACAGTGGGGGGGGGCGGGGGGGGCCAAGCACGGGGGGCGAGGGAGGGGAGCAGGGGGGGGGGGCGGGGGACTGCGGGGGGGGAGGGTGGGGGTGGCACTGGGGTGGGGGCGGGGAGGCAGTGGGAGGGGGGGGGGGGAGAGGGGGGCGGGGGGGGGCTGGGGTCTGGGGGGGGGGCAGGACATGGGAGTGCACTGGGGGCGGGGGGAGGGAGGGGGGCGGAGGGGAGGGGGGGGGGGAGGGGGGGGCGGAGGGCGGGGGCGGGCGGGACTGGGGGGAGCGGGCGAGGGTGGGGGGGGACGGTGGGGACTGGGGGGTGCGCACTGGAGGGGCTGGGGACGGCGGGGGGGGGGGGAGGGTGGGGACCGGGGGGGGGGGGGGGGGGCAGGGGGGGGAGGCTGGGCAGGGCAGGGTGCTGGGGGGGGGGGTCTGGGCTGGGGCGGAGGCACTGGGGGGGGGGGGGGGGGGCGGGGGCTGGGGGGGAGGAAGCGCTGTGGGGGAGGGGGGGGGGTTGACTGGGGGTGGGGGGGCCCAACGCCACTGGGGGGGGGGGGGTGAGGGGGGGGGGGGGGGGGCGCTGGGGTGGCGGGGGGGAGGTACGGGGGGGGGGGGGGGGGGGGGGCGGGCCTGGGGGGGGGAGGGGGGGTCCGGGGGGGGGAAGGGGGGAGGGGGGGGTGGGGCATTCGAGGGCGGGCCCTGGGCTAGGCTGGGGGGGGGGGGGGGGTTCCTGTCAGAAGGTGATCGAGGGGACGGGGGGGGGAGGGGTGGGGGGGCGGGGGGGGAGGGGGGGGGGGGGGGGGGGGGCCACGGGGGGGGGGGGGGGGGGTGGGGGGAGGGGGCGGGGGGAGGGGGGGTGGGTCATGGGGGGCGGGGGGGGCGTAGGGTGGGGGGGGCGGGGGGGGGGGGGCGGGGCACGGGGGGGGGCTGGGAGATGATAGTAGGGAGGGCGGGGTGGGGTCTGGGAATACGGGCGGGGGGGGGCAGGGGAGTGGGACACGGGGGGGGGGGGGGGAGCGCGCACTACCGCCGCCCGTGGCATGGGGGCTGGGGGGTGGAGGCGAGATGAGCGGTGGGGCCTGGGAGGGGGGGGTCGGACTGGACGGGGGGGGCGGCCTGTTTGGGGGGGGGGGCGGCCGCACATGGTGGGGTAGCAACTGGGCGGGACGGGGGGAGCGGGGTGGTGGGGGCAGTCACTGGGGGGGGGGAATGGGTGCGGGGGGGGGGCGGGAGGGGGTCAGGGTGTCGGACTGCGGCCGCTGGGGCTGAGGGGGCGGGGGGCGGAGGGGGGGGGGAATGGGGGAGAGGGGACGCGGGGGGCAGGGGGGGACTGGGGGCGCAGGGCATGGGCACTGGGCGTCAGTGCTGGGGGGGGGAAGGGGGGGGTCGGGGGGGGGGGGCTAAGGCGGGGGGGGGGGGGGGGGGGGGGGGGGGGGGGGGGGGGGGGGGGGGGGGGGGGGGGGGGGGGGGGGGGGGGGGGGGGGGGGGGGGGGGGGGGGGGGGGGGGGGGGGGGGGGGGGGGGGGGGGGGGGGGGGGGGGGGGGGGGGGGGGGGGGGGGGGGGGGGGGGGGGGGGGGGGGGGGGGGGGGGGGGGGGGGGGGGGGGGGGGGGGGGGGGGGGGGGGGGGGGGGGGGGGGGGGGGGGGGGGGGGGGGGGGGGGGGGGGGGGGGGGGGGGGGGACCTTTTGGAGTCGGGCAGTGCTGGGACATAAAGTCCACGACGGAACAGTTCGCCCTATTGCTTTCGCGTCCCGCACATTACAACCTGCTGAGAAAAATTACGCACAATTAAGCAAGGGAGCACTGGCCGTAGTATTCGGAGTAAAGCGGTTCCATCAGTACTTGTGTGGCAACCAGTTTGAGATAACAGACTGACCATAAACCACTGTTATCACTTCTCGGTAAGGAACGAGGCATAGAACAACTTATCGCACCCGGAATGGTACGCTGGGCCCTCCTACTTTCTGCTTACAATTATCAAGTCCGATACATTGCAGGTCCTCACAATAATGTCGCTGATGCGCTCAGTAGATTGCCACAGATTGACCGACAGAAGGAAAGAAGTGACGCGCCCTACGAGTTTGTTCAACTTTTGCAACACCTGAATACTACACCCATACCTTGCGACATAGTTAGGAAAGCTACAGACAGAGATCCCGTTCTATCGACTGGGAACCGTATGCTGCTGCGTGGCTGGGGTTCGCGAGCTCCTGGTGATCTGCGTCGTTTTTTCAATTGTAGATTTGAGCTGAGCCTGCATGAAGGATGTATCCTACGTGGATCTCGCATCGTTATTCCATTGACTCTCAGGTCAGCTGTACTGAAAGAATTACATGATGCACATCCAGGTATTGTCCGGATGAAAGCCCTCGCCAGATCCTACTGCTGGTGTCCAGCGATTGACCGAGACATCGAAGCACTTTTGAGTACTTGTAACACATGCCAAAAATATCAAAGAGATAATCCAACAGGCCCAATTCACCTTTGGCAGTTGCCCGACAGCCCGTGGGAACGTGTCCCCGCCGAGTACTTTTGCCCGATGGAAGAAACATTGTTGCTACTTTTAGTAGATGCGTACTCCAAATGGATTGATGTGCATGTTGTTGCAAACGCTACTGCAGAAGCTACAATCAATGGCGTACGCTCTAGTCTATCTACACATGGCATACCGAACACATTAGTCACTGACAACGGTCCGCAATTTACGAGTGCAGCGTTCAAAGAATACCTGCAGAGCAACGGCGTTCATCACATGACTTCCGCACCGTACCATCCAGCGTCAAACGGTTTAGCTGAAAGAGCGGTCCAAACCGTGAAAGCTGGTCTTCTAAAGCAGCGTAATGGCTCGTTACGAACCAAACTTGACCGATTCTTGTTCGCATATCGGATCACACCGCTAGAGTCTATCGGAAAGAGCCCTGGGGAGGCAATGTTTGGGCGTCGACTACGTACGAGGCTAGACCTACTTTTTCCAGACCCTCGTCAGACCAGGCGTTGCCAGCAACAACGTATGCATGAAAGTAGACGCGCACCAGTTAAGCCCCAAAGTCGATAGTGGAACGTGATGTTTACACGAAACTACCACATGAGCAGTTATGGCAGCCTGGCACCGTGCTTACGAGCTCAGAAACGGAGGCCGAAATACAACTAGAGAGTGGAGAGACAGTACGCAGGCACAATGATTTCATCCGGCCCCGCACCCCAGTCACACCGTACCCTGGGGAAGAGAAAGTGGTTCCAGAAGATCTGGAGGAGACAAACAAAAACCAAACGGAAGAAATCGATCAGCCGATTGCTATTCGGAAACCGCACCGCTCACCTAAGCCGATAGAACTTTACATTTCACAACTGTGATTCCATCTGTCACGTGAGGGGATGTTACATGTGTGTCGTCCGCTAAACCGCTGAGCCGATGAGCAAGCACAGACACATACAGATCGATTGACCGATAGCTGATTCGTCCACTCTTTTTCCTTGTGCTGATTGGTTCCTTCTCGACTTATTCAACTGGTGTAACCTACAAGCTATCTATTACAGTTTTTGACACGTCCCATCCGGTGTGTGTTCTTATTCACTTCTTGCGCGGACTAAGGGTCCAGGTGCGATCCAGCAATACTCGAGTAATACGTATCACCTAGCTCGGGTGCTAAGGAAGATGAACACGTTTGGTTGGACACAGTTGCTGATTAGGGCAAAAACCGGCCCCAATGGCGTTTGTGGTGTGAGTTTCTTGGTCCAGCACCCTCCTGCTCAGCCTCCCCTCCAAGTGCCATCTCATTCTTTAGGCATAACATAACTCTTTTTACGGCACGATAGCCGGCTGTTAGCACTCCGGAAAGATGTCCATCTGTTACTGGGTAGTCAGCCAGCGTGCCACTGCTACTTTCTTCTTATGTTTTGTATTGCGGCACAATAGCTTAGGTGTTTTCCACCTGGAGCTAGCGTGTACACTGATGATGACACAATAGTAAACCAGTTTCACTGTAGTTCTGTTCAGTATGTATAGTCATCCCACTGGTAAAGATTGTACATGAACCATCGCAGAAGTACGAAAGGCTAGTGGTATTGTTTAAACAAATGAGGAAATCCAAAAGCGATTCATTTACAGAGTGGATGACAGAGAGTGAATCCCAGTCATTCCCATCAGGCCCCGCATTAAAACTGAGGAACAAAGCTAGGCAGCGCGATAAAAATGCATCATCTGTGGCATTAAACGCCAACGCCACTAATTGCTTAAATTTGCATGAAACGACCACCGCCAGGCCGATTGCAATGACCACGGTCAGGGCCTCGTCTAAACTCCAAACGGTTCCGAAAATGTAGAAGGGCTTCGACACCAATGGTGGTTGGAACTTGGTTGCTGCCAAAGGTGACCGAAAACCTGGACCTTCGCCCACTCCCACTGGACCCATAGTAAATGAAAAAGACGGAATTGTACCCAAACATCCGCGATCGACTTTATGCAGACCAGCTAGTCGTTTGACCTCAACCAGAGTTGCATACCAGTAGTAATAGTAGTAGCATACCAGTGGTAATCTGCACCAACGTTCCATAATCGACGTTAAATTCCTTCAAATGAAAACAACTTGATGAAGCAGTGGAACCCCATATGTGACACTATAGGCGTTGAAACTAAGTCCGTCAATTTGATACACGTCACCCGTCACTCAAACTCACAGCACTATGGTGAACCAAGACTTCTCCGAGTTGTGTTGACTTCTGCCAATGAAGTATAACCTGTCTTCAAAGCAGATAGAAATTGGGTGTTGCCCACCAGAAAACACTGCACTGTTTTCTGGTGGGCAACACCCAATTTATATCTGCTTTGAGGACGGTCCCAGTGATCGCCGTGACTAAGGCTCACTTCAATGTGAACCACAGTCCACTATACTGAGATTGCGCGTCGCAATCCAATCACACAACGTGTAAGTCCAAACTTGACCCTCCAATATAACCTGTCTTGTTATGGACAGCTCGCTTCCGGAATGGGTCATGTTCTATCCGACTATTCCCGGATATTTCGTGGAGCGAGTACATACAGGCGAAGCGTAGTTGGACGAAAACCGGAAGGAATCCGTAGCCAGGATCATCCTTGTACACGGTGTTCCCGAGGCAGGAAGTCATGATAAGCGCGAAGCGACCACTCACGACCAGGAAGAATAGGGGTACATTCGCGAGACCCTCTCTCTGAAAAATGTCATAGCACAATCAATCTCGAGACTGCGCTGATCGCCAAACTACAAGGGATGTGGCCCGAGAATTCTGAAAGTGGTTCTTTTATCTAGACTGATATCAGCAATGGTAGTGGATGGATGGTATGCGGGCCGCGTCAGCCATCCTTCCGAGCTCCGGATCAAAGCAGCATATGCTAAGCAAACACCTGAGAGCGGCCACTTAGTCAGACCACTTATCGACAAGAGTTCGGATAACTTCTGTCAACTAACCAACGAAACTGGCAAACCCACCCCAAACATCACATACAAAGAGAGAAACAAAGAGGTAATGGTAGGATCCATGAATCGGGCACAGATGAATTCGTCATCCCATCCCACCCAAAAAACGATTAGTTGCCGCCCTTTCACCGGTCGGCACATTTTATACAAAACACGCATCCAACGACACATAGCTAAAACAGAGAAACTTTCCTGCATATATACCAATGCACAAGATCTCCTGAACAAGATTGCCGAACTGCAGCTACATCAAGCGTCACATGTTTGGGACCTCATATTCGTTACGGAAACCTGGTTGCACTGAAAAATTACCGATGCCGAGGTCGCGACTCATGGTATGTCTCAACTCAGAAATGATCGACCCAGCAAAGGCGGGGAGTAATGTTATACTACCGCAACGACCTGCAGTGCGAACCAGTGGCCGATCCGGAAACGCTGATCACAGACTCACTCTGGTACAGTCTGCGAGTGAGACGCAACAACAACACTTGCCTTTTGGGTGTTGATTATCGTCCCCCAATGTCCACCCCAGAGATGGACACCCGCCTGGCATTATCCCCGGGAGAGGTCCTACGTGGACGATACAGTCATGTTTTCATTTCAGGCCACTTCAATATTCATGAATTGGAAGTTCCGGCATCCCCAACAAGCAGTTTAAGGCTGGCCTGTAAGAGTATATTGCAAGTATTCCGCTCTTCAGCCATGTCAGTTCACCCATCTGATTCAGAGCAGGAAATAAACCATCTGCAGTTGATTTAGTGCTCACGAACGAAGAGTTCATGGTTGAGAAACCAAGACTAAAGAGCCCTCCGGGGTGAAGCAACCACGTCACCATAATTTACAATTTCGTGTATTATGCGTAGTATTCACAAGAACTTGTTCCGAACAATCACCGGCCGAACTTGTGGAAGATGTCAGCTAGGAGTTTCCGGACGAGTGTTACATTGACAGTGCTTTGTTGGATTTTACTGGCAAGTTCAGTGGTCTGATTAAATCTGCATCGGTCAACAAGTTCCTATATTCTGCTAGGGCACAATCATTCATTCGAAGTAGAACCCAGAAGCACATGACATGAAGAGACGTCGCGTGGAATGTGTAAAGAGCGAACCCTAGCCCTGAGAAGTGGAGTAACTATCTTGTGCATCGTAACCACAGCACCACACTTGTGCGCGAGGACAAATTAGTACACCAGCAGAGTCTAGTGGAAAAGTGTTGTGTTAGCATAAAGCTTCTGTACAGACATGTGAACTGCCTCCGGA